TTTACTGTGTCCTTTCTCAACAAACTTTCGCTCTTATATGCTGGATTCACATTTTGCTATGTATTTTGTTAAGCTTCAAACTGTGCCCTTACTTGTTTTTATAGTTTCGACAAACTGTAAAATGCATGCAGTGGAAATAGTTTGTTTATAAAGAGCACAGTAATTTATGGAAATCCAGATAAATATCTTTAATATCTTAACTTGTAAGCATGATATTAGTGCATCAGTAGTCAATGCTAAATACACATCTGCAGGAATAACATGTTCCCCTTTGGTGTTTTTGTTTGATTTGTGAAAGGTGATAATTTTCTGTTTTTGATGGCATGCACATCTGCAGGTGAAGCCATTAGGTGTGATATGGGGGAAGTACGAAACATTCTACAACAGGAAGAACACCATCATGTTTGATGACATTGGACGAAACTTCCTCATGAATCCACAGAATGGACTAAAGGTAGTCTGGCCATTTTCTCATCTTAATTATCTCTGTTGTCTATGTACTTTTTGCCTAAATTTACCTTGTGTAAATGTGTGTTAGATCCGACCTTTCATGAAGGCCCATCTCAATAGAGAGAAGGACAGAGAGCTCTATAAACTGGCTCAGTACCTGAAAGAGATCTCCAAGCTTGATGACATCAGCGGACTGAACCACAAACACTGGGAGAGGTAGGCACGTGCATCAAAAATTACAGCAACTTTCACAGCTGGCTCATCAATGTAATACAGCACCAAAAACTACCCATTACAATATGCCAAATCCAGTCAAAAATCCCATAACAGTTAGTTCCTTTATGTGTTTATACAGGTACTTATCCAAGAAGCTGCACCATTGAGGAAGAACTCCATTATCTACAAACTCCTGGGCTAAATGTACCCCCCACCACCACCACTTTTCATTCTTACTAACATAATGCACACTCATGTTTGTCAGAGGTTTGTCTTTCTAAACCTAACTCAAAACTACACATCAACCCTGCAGTCACTAAAGCTCCAAGTCTCAGAATGATGTTTAATTCATAAACATGTTCTTTATTTAATCATAAACATTTTTATCCTATTTTCTCCAAATGTGACTGCTCTGAGGATGCAAACTTGAACCCAGCTGCCAGCCTCATGGTGGACAGACAACAAACACCTTAACTACAAGTATACATGATCGTTTACATCTGCTTTGTCTTCCAAATGGGTGGCAGCTTTGCCATATAAAGTTCAGTGAACTTTATTAAAAATTCAACATGTTCTTGTGAAGCTGTCAATCCGCTTTTGGTACTGAGAAAGACTAAACAGAACTGCCGACGTTTTCCTCCTCCGTGGGAAGCTAAAAGCATCAAGTTACAAAAATAAATGTTAAAGTTTTCTCAGTGACCAAGGAGTTATTAATAATTAAACATTTTGTAATGCCTGTTTTGGAAGCCCACTTTGTGGAAATTGTGATAAAGATTTATATAAACCCCTCAGAATTAAAAGCTGTCTCAATCTCTGGTTCAGCCCTGACCTGTCCAAGCTTATTCAACATAAACATCAGCTGTGGTGAAAAGTGAAGGCATCTAATACTACATGTGATTAGTAATCATACAAGGCAGTTAGAAACAAATGTATCCAGTCCATAAGACGAGCGAAAATTAACCACTTCAGAGAGCAACTTTTTACAAATAGTACCTACCTCAAAAACTTCTGGAAAATTATTAAAGCACTTGAAAACAAAAACATGCCCTCACATTTATCATCAGTAATCAAAACTGATGACATCGTTGTTGCAGACAAAACTGATTGTGTAAATGATAATACTCCAAATTCTTCAACAAATTCTCCTATCACCACAAACTGAATCAAGTCCACCTGCCTCAAGACGCTCCCCTCCCTTCCCCTCTCAGCTCGTACATTCATTCATTTAACCTTTATTTATACAGGTTAGTCTCATTGAGCCACGAGGACTCATTTACAAGAGACCTGTTGTAAACAGAAAACCACAGGTGAGGTACGCACAACAATAAACAGCCCCAAAAAAAAGCATCTAAAATGAAAAGTAGATAAGAGTAGTGATATAAAACAAAATAAAAACAAGCTACATTATAAAACGAGGTAAAATACTAAAAACAGGAACATGTCAGCGTTGATTTTTGCATTGAACTTAACTGTTTAAAATCCCTTAGAGAGGTCAAAGTGGACAGCTTCATGAGTCTGAGGTACTGACTGAGCTACTCAGTCTGGTCACCAACAAACCGGCTGCACTAGATCAGGTTGAACCTTTCTTTTGGAAAACTGGTGCTCATGTCATCGCAATCCCCATCTGTGACTTGTTAAATCTGTCCCTGCAAACCTGAGTGTTCCCCCAGAAATGGATATTCGCTGCAGTCACCCCACTGTTCAAAGGAGGTGACAATGCTAACTTTTACTGACCCATCTCCATCTTGCCATGTGTCTCAAAAATCCTTGAAAAGCTAATCAGCAACCAACTTATTGACCAACTAGAAACACACAATGCTCTCAACCCTCTACAGTTGGGATTTAGATCAGGACACAGTTCTAGCACTGCCACACTTAATGTTGTTGTCTGTGTGATTGATAAGAAAGAGAACTGTGCTGCTGTCTTAAGTCCTTCAACTCTATAGGCCACTCCATCTTGCTGGGAAGGCTAAGAGACATCAGACTGTCAGTCACATAGCTTGGTCCAAAAGCTACTGTTCTATGCAAACGCAATTAGTGAGGGCGGAGGGTCACCTGTCAGACCCACTACCCATTGGCAAAGGTGTTCCCCTAGGTTCCATACTTGGTCCAACTCTTTTCAGCATGACAGCTCAGTGGTTAGCACTGTTGCCTCACAGCAAGAAGGTCCTGGGTTCAATCCCCGGTTGGACCTGGGGTCTTTCTGTGTGGAGTTTGCATGTTCTTCTCGTGCTTGCGTGGGGTTTCTCCGGGTACTCCGGTTTCCTCCCACAGACCAAAAAACATGCACGTTTATCTGCCTTCAGGCCCAGGCCTCCCTTGCAAAAGAGATCTGTGATCTCAGTGGGATTTGCCTGGTTAAATAAAGGTTAATAATACCGTGCATCAACAGTATACCAAATTCTGTGAAAAACTGTTGTTCACACATATCTATACGCAGATAACACTATTATGTATACCACCAGTACCTCACTTAACTCTGCCCTCACTGCACTACAAATTAGTTTCAATAACATCGAGCACACTTTTTTCTAATCTACATTTAAAATTGAGCACTCTGGGGGAAAAAAGCATGATCTTTAACAGAAACCTCCCTCAAACTGTCTGCCCTCAGAAAATCCTGTCCTTGGATGGCTCAGAGATCCTGTTGGCCAGCAGATGCACATACTGTACCTTGTGATTTGGCTTGATTCTTCACTCTCGTACTCTCGTACAAAACTCACATCAGCACTTTGCTCTCCAAAGTCAAATCCAGAATAGGGTTCTTCTTCCAAAACAAATCCTCACTAACTCAACCTGCTAAACATCTTCTGGTAAAAATGACAGTCCTTCTGGTGTTCACCAATAGCGATGTCATCTGCAGAACCGCTTCCAAAGTTCTCCTTCACAAACTGGACACCCTGTACCATGCAGCCATTAGATTTGCCACCAGCACTCCCTTCAGCAATCATCACTGTACTCTGGTGAAATGGCCATCTCTTCACTCCCTCAGACAAACAAACTAGTTTCTGCTGATCTATAAAACCCTAACTGGTAAAACCCCATCCTACCTCCATTCATTACTCAATATCTGTAGCAACATGCGTACCCTCCACTCCAGCAGCTACATTATCCTATTTATCCCTAAAGCGCGCACCTCATCTGGTCAATCAATCAATCAATCAATCAATCACCTTTATTTTACCAGGTAGAGCCCGTTGAGATCGAGATCTCTTTCACAAGGGTGACCTGGTCAACTGGTCATCAGCACACGTCACAGGGTAATTGACAATAAGCATTTACATTTATCAAAAGAAAAAAGAAACTACTATCACGATAAATAAATGTTAACAGTTTGAAACCATCCGGATAAGACAGACTTCTGTAAACATTAAATGTAAAACAGACATCAGGTTAAGTATACAGAGTTAAAAGTGAACAAAGACATGTATATTTGATAAGTAGTGTTTTAGAAACATCTGCAATGGTCCATATTTTTGATAACATTATCTGATACGGTTGACATGAAGGATCTAGGCGAGATGAGTGTTGATAGTTTCAAATCTGTCTGTAAGTTGTTCCAGGCTGAGGGGACGGCGAAGCTGAATGCTCTTTTTCCTAGTTCAGTTCTGATCAGAGGAACTGACAGGAGGATTAGGTCATTAGAGCGCAGGGAGTAATGATTGTGTGATGTTTGTATTAGGGAGGTAAGGTATGACGGGACTAGGTTTAGAAGGGTCTTATAGATGAAGGATATCCAGTGAGTGTATCTGCGAGTGCTGAGAGAAGACCAGCTAGACTTGACGTAAAGTTCACAGTGATGAGTGCGATAACTGGAGTCAGTAATGAATCGAAGGGCACCATGATAAACTGAGTCTAAGGACTGTAGGTATTTTGATGCAGCACTCATGTACAGCACGTCACCATAATCTAATATCGGCATGAAAGTTGCAGCTACTAATGTTCTCCTGGCTTTACATGAGAAGCAGGATTTATTTCTGAAGTAGAAGCCTAGCTTCAATTTGAGTTTAGTGACCATTTTGGAGATGTGGATTTTAAATGACAGTTTATTGTCAATGTTGAAACCTAGATATTTGTAGGTGTAGACCATTTCTATTTGTTTTCCCTCTTGGGTTTCAATTTGAGGTGGGTTCTCTGGTTGCTGCTTTCTGTTTGATAAAACCATGATCTTGCTTTTGTCAGCATTTAGGACCAGTCTAAGTTTTTGCAGACGTGACTGGATAATATTAAAAGCGTCTTGAAGAGAGGTGAAGGCTTGGCTGAGGGAGGATGAACAGCAATAAATGATAGTGTCATCTGCATAATAATGGTGGGAGGCGTTTGACAGATCACTGCATAGATCATTGATATATAAGGAGAAAAGAATGGGACCCAAGACAGAACCCTGTGGCACCCCTTTCACAACATCTAGGAATGTAGAGGAGGATCCGGCTACATGGACAGACTGTGTTCTGTCAGTTAGATAGTTGGTGAACCAGGAGACTGCTAGTTTTGATAGACCAGAGTGTTTCAGGATGTTAGTCAATAGTCTGTGATCAACTGTATCAAATGCCTTGGATAGGTCTATAAATAGGGCAACACAGTATTGTTTGCTGTCCAGGGCATGTATGATGTCATTTAATACTTTGAGAACTTTAGTTACGGTACTGTGCTGTTTTCTGAATCCTGACTGGAATTGTGATAAAATATTATTTGATTGTAGAAAAACAGTTAGCTGATCACAGACAAGTCTTTCGAACAGTTTAGCAAGAATACATAATTTAGAAATTGGTCTGTAGTTGTTGATTGATTGATTGATTGACAAGTGGTTCACTAATGTCACACATTGATGAGGGATTTGAATAGTAAATGGTTGTTGTTTTTGACATAAGTGATTTTCTGGAGTGCATTTTGGTCGTCCATCATGTCAGTTTTCTGCTGCTAACAAGAGGAATCATCTACAACAAACTCTAAAACTAGCTTTTTTTGTCCCATTTGCATAGTTTTTTTTTTAACTTTTATTGCCAAACAAGAACAAGGCAAATTACATACAAACTATTTAGTCTTGAGGCTGGGTCATCTCTTCATCAGCAAAAGTAAAAACACATTTGGCATTTTACAGGGCTAAATTAAAACATAAACAACACCAAAAGAGCTTTATTTAAGAAAGTTAACAATAGGTCCTCAC